CGTGTGGTACGTGGTCTCTGAACGCTTACTGGCACGGTTGGGTTTTATAGGGTTACATGGTGGTGGTTTGGACCGTAATCTCCAAGTCCCCTGGTGTTTGTATGTACAGAACATGCAGCTTCTATGCTGACTTTTCCAGTTGGTACCCCGGAGCATCCGTCCCCTTTCCAGTTTATCTGTCTGTGCCCGATAGTGGGGAGCTTGATGCTTCCTAGGCCCTGCTGACTGAACTGTTGGCGCAGTGTGCATATTGACCTAGGGGATGTGAGTGGGTGGTTGTGTTGACACTTATTTAAAAAGTTACCTCAGAGTGAGAGAAAGAATTCCAGCACTTGTGAACAGCCTAACTGAATTATCAGCTGCTGTTAATGAGTGACATTCCTGACTTTTAGAAACTGTTTCTGTTTTCTCAGAATCAGTTTCTGTAGCATAACACCTGCTGGGGTGATAAAAAATACAGAGTCTTTCTAAGAAGTGAAAATCAAATTCTTGTTTTGGCTAATCAAATATGAAGTGTAAACATTAGTTGCCCAAATGCATTTATTTTTCTTTCATTCTCCTTCACACCCCTCTCCTCCAAGTCCACTTTATGCTGCAGCAGCTCTACCGATTAACAAAAAATTTGCATATATTTAATAGCAGAAATGTTATTGTACTTGGCTGTCATTTCATGTTTGTAACCTGTTCTCAAAAGTATACATTCTGATGTTCAAGAGTTCAATTTATTGGTGCTCTTTACCTGTCCTCTGCTGCCTCTCTTATCAGACTAATTAAATCTTAGTTATTTATTATACATATGTTACATACCATAAAGCCATTCCTTTTCTTAAGAGTGATACGACAACATATCACAGTGTTCATGTTTATGAGGAGGAAAATGTGTCTTTGAGAAAGTCCACTTCTTTAAGTGCACATTTCAAACTGCTGATGCAGAAACCAGTGTTTTATGGCAGAGACTATATTATATCCTAATTCTGCCTTTAGTTTGGGGGGGGGGGGGGAGGGTGGAAGAACAGCACCATTTTTCATTTATTAGCTACCTACAAACTGAAGATGGGTAATCCCTCCAGCTCTGGTGAAGCAAGTGATGTGATACAGTAAGACTTAGAATTTTAGAAGCTCATTAACAGCTTTCTTTATCTTACAGCTAAAGTAACATAGAAAGAGCTGTTTTAAATTCAGATGCTCGTTAAAGGGGTTGTTAAATTGGCAATTTTAGTCTATGTTAAATGTGTAAAAATACAAGAACCAAAGGGTAAGAATGCATGTGTTAATTAGAAGAGTACATCAGGGTGCAGGTCTTTTGAGTTCACCCTAATGGACCATCATAAACCTGCTGGCTTGTGCCCAACCTTCAGACCCTATTTGTTGCTGAGTCTTTTTAGGCAATTGGTAAGTTACAGCTCCATCAGGGGACACCATACTCGAGGGCAGTTTCCTCCGGCTTACTAGGCTTGGCACCTGGTTTTCCTAAGCCCTGCGGAGCACACGATGCATTTTCTTTCACAGAACAGAAGAGCTGGAGACAGTCACAAAGCGGTGATGTTCCCCTCAGCCGCCGCCGCGGGCTTTCAACCGGCCGCGGCGGGGCGGGCCCGAGGTGGCGCAGGCGCAGTCCGCGCCGGTCACCTTCGTCTGACCCAGGCGGAGAACGTCTTTCCCGTCAGCATTGGTGGTTCAGTGGTAGAATTCTCGCCTGCCACGCGGGAGGCCCGGGTTCGATTCCCGGCCAATGCAATTAGCGTTTTCCTTCGTCCCCATCCCCGCCTTTATTTTTTTTTTTCCCCCACCTTCTTAAAAATAATAAAAAAAAACAACTCCTCGCTGTCAGCCATGCTGCTAAAACACCCCTGGTTGGCGAACCTTTATCCCCACCACACGCACGCACACGTATTGCGGCCTCCCCGGGCTGGAAGTGACGCAACCGGATTTGCCTTCAAACTGCCGGCGGCGGGCAGGGCCGGGGGCGGGGCTAGCGCCGCTGGAGGAGGAGGAGGAGGAGGAGGAGGAGGAGGAGGAAAGAAGAAGAAGAAGAAGCAGCAGCAGCAGCAGCAGAAGGCTTGTTGCTGTGGCGGGGCCGAGCTCTGGAAGGGAGTAAGTGATAGACCCGCGGTATCTTCCGTCCCCGCGGCGGCCGTTGCGGGGTGCCCCCCCCGCACCTCGCGGGGGCCGTGCGCTGCCCCTGCTCGGCCCGAGGCGAAGGGTAATGCCCGCGCCCCGCGTGGCGTGGGCCAGCCACCCCGCGGGGACCCAGGAAGCTCTCCGCCGCGGGCGGGAGCGAGCCGCCGCGGTCGTTGCTGTCGCGACGCCCGCGACCATTACGCTGCGCTCGTCGGGCTGTCGCTGACACGCGCGCGGGGCATCGCCGTCGCGTCCCGGGTGTCAGCGAAACGCCCCGGCCCGTGGGTGTGCGGCGCCCACGGCCCCGGCCCCGCAGGGGTCCGGCTGGCGGGCTGCTGTTCGATCGCTCAGCTTCGGCTCCTACTTATCCCTTCCCCCCCAACCTGTTCTATGTATTTCCCCCCCCCCCCCCCCCCCCCTCGATGAAGCAAGCTTTTTGCAATTATGTTAGTTTTCTTTCCAAACAAGAATGAAACAGTTGCATCAGTTCTAGGTATCCATTCTGCTGGAGACCCTTCTAAATTTTCTGAGAATTTTGCTAATTTAACATTGACTGTCTAAAAGAATACCAGCCCCAGGGAAACAGGGAGTAAGTAATATAATTTTTTTATTATTATTATTTGTAAGTCTTCTGAGAGGCTTAGCCTTGAAAACCTAAAATCACCTGCCAACAGTGTATCTAATGACTTTTTTTTTTTTTTTTGCATAAACATTTAGATGTACTTGGTGTACTTATGTTCGTGGTTGCTGATGTTTTTTCTTTTGCTACCGTTACTGATAAATATAGTAAGTGGGTGACAGCCAGTTTGTTTAGTATCCAATAAGTCTGACAACTTTTCTGTTTCCCAAGTAATTAACACAATCACTTGCTGATACCAAATGTTGCTAGGAGTGGATGTTATGAAGAAGAGTACTGAAGCTAGAAGGGATCTCAGATGTGATGCAGGCTACTGTCATCAGTAAAAGTTGATCCCTGAAAACTATTACTTCAGGGGTTTTTTCTCTTCTAGCTTGCTGAGAGAACTTTCTGAATTTTACATGGTTGCTTTGATGTCAAAGCCTGTATAGCAGGCTGAAATAATGGAAACATGTACACTCTGCCAAAATTCAGGCTCAGGCTTAGTCCAAACATTAAGGTTGGACTGAAGGGCTCTTTGGAAGGATTTTCCTTGTATGGTTTGTGCTGTTCTCTGGGTCAGCAGAGTAGCTGATGGGTCCCCCATAGTAACTGATAGACCACAGATTTAATCTTCCTTCCCAACATCTGTATATCATTTCTCCTTTGGCTTTTTAAAGTTGTGGGGGATTTCTTTGTGAAACGGGATTGATACAGTGTACAGTTACAGCTTCCCAAATTCTGATCTATGAATGCGAGCAGAAATGACTTATAGTTGTTCCTTGTAATTCCTTAAAGTCATTGTGGAAAACATGATGTATCCCCAGTGTTTTCATTATGATGGTCAGGCTATTATCTTATTAGATATATCCTATATTTTATGTATCCTATATTTTATCTAGTAAAATATAAAAATAGGTCCCAAAATCTCATTCTCAAAAGCTGTAGATATCTTGAACCTTTGTTAGGTTTAAACCCCTGCTGCTCTGGGCTGTTCCAAACTCTAGAAGTATTTTAGATGATTGGAGCAAATGACAGAATGTATTCTATTACTAAAGATGGGTTAATTTGATGGGTTTCTGTTGTGTTAATTTCCAGGAACCATATATACTCACAGCTAATGTAGAGAGTGAGTATTCTTATTGTGCTCTGTGTGTGTTTGTACACAGTGTAGGATTAAACTTGCAAGACAAAGTGCTTAGGTTATTTTCCGTATATCCTGTTTGCTGTAAACTTTACGAGCTCATTACTATTTCAGTTGCTGTTGGAACACAGATAACCTCACTGGGCATGATTTGTGGAAAGGTCATAGCTGATAAGTGCAGCCTTGCTGCTTTGACATCCTGTTATGGGATAGTATTGGGTATTTGTAAATACTTTGAAAATTATTAAGTGGTGCAGGATCGGTTTTGTCCTTGCTTGCTTTTTTTTTTTAATTCCTTCAGGTCTAGTTTAACCCTGGATTTGTGCATTCTCACGTGGCTCCCACATGTCTTACACCCTACTCGGAACTGCCACAGTCTACTATGACTTTCTGCTGCAAACTTTAATCTGTTTTCAGATTAGTACTCTAACTACTATTTTTTTCCCCTGTCGTAGAACTACTTCAGCATCTTCAGTTACAGGTGCAGTAAGCCTATAGACTCGCATTCGTGTATCAGCTCTGACACTGCCTGTATTGAAGTGGCCGCAGCAGTGGCATGTCCATACATAAGCAGAGCCAGCAGCTTTTTCTGCCCCACTTGTACTCAAGAGCCTTGTATTTGGAAGCCACTTCAAGCTCTTCTGCTCTTATGATTCAACATGAAGCAACAAATTAAACTGGTTTTCTAGCTTAAACAAAATTCTCATACATTTTCAGTACCAGTGATTAAACGGATTTATTCCTGGATTTTCATTGGAGTTACTACTTTTGGTTATGTTGGAAACATTACCAACTTAAGTGAGTACCACCTTCTCTCTGCTCCCCCCCCCCCACATGAGATGTTACCTCATTTTTCTTATATGTCTGTTTCTCCTTTCTGTCCTTCTTTTCTGTTCTCTCTTACCTGAAAATCACATTTACACTTTTGTTACGTGCAATACTATTGTTTTAGTCCCAAGCTTTCATATCTTTCTGAATTAGCCTCTTCAGGTTGTTTTTGATCCTTGCTATTTTCACATTTCCAGCTGAAAACTACTCTTCCAAGTTTGTTTGGTTTTTTGGGTTTGTTTTTTTTTTTTTTTGCCTGGATATTTAAACAGAATTGCTGTTCTGCTTGGATTTCTCTACAGCATTCAGTGTAAAAAAAAAATTACCTATGACTTCTCTCTGTATTTTAAAGTCTAGTTTGCCTTTAGTAACTTGCTATTACTTGATTTTTAAAATGTTTATTAGCATCTTGCTCAACTTGTGATTTCAGTAGTGTTAGTCATCGGTTTGAATTCTCAAGACAGGCAAACAGGTGTATCTGGTAGGATGAGCAGGAGTGGAAAAGCTTGCTCCTAAATATAGCAGGGAAAACCCTGCTAATATCTGTGTGATGATCCATACAGCAGTTGACAAACATCTTCAGGCTCTTTCTCCTAAGGTACAGACCAACAAAACTCACAAGTCAAACTGTGTCTGCAAAGCCTAATTAGCCTGGGATATAGTAGTCTTTATAGTTGCTGGTCACATTAACTGTATCAGTTTGTAGACATCACAGCCAGCTCAGCCAGTCTCTGGCTAGAGTGAGATTATATAGTGCAGGCTCTTATGATAGCAGGTTTCCAGACTCCACCCCACGGGTGCCCTCTGCACGGGTGGGTGTGGGCTGTCAGAGGCCTGTCTTCAGCCCCGTTGCTGCCAGAGTTGTGCTGTTTGGGCTGAAACTTTTCACAGCAGCTATCTGCTTCAAGGGAAACGGGAGATGGAGGAATAAGGAAGCAAGAAGTAGAGGCTCAGGAATGGATCAGCTGTGTGTCCGTGCATAAAGCTACTTGGGAAGGGGATGGAAAAAGGAGTGGAAGTCTTAAAATGTTTGATTTGTACTTAGCAGCCCCTCTTTACAGTGGGGAGCTAATATTTTAGCAACAGATTGTCTGGTGTGTGCAAAGTGTGGCTTTGGAAACATCTGATAATGCATCTGAATTTGACTCTGACCTGGTCTTGAAATGTGTTCAGTCTTAAATCAGTTTATTGCGCCTGTGAGTTTAGTACCTCTTACATTCTTTAAATAGTTGATCTGTATCAAGTATGCTTCATCCCAGGGCTTAGCCGTAATTGCTTGTCTGCAGTTGCATCTTACTGGTACTGGGTACAGGAACTGAAATGAGAGCATGTTTATTTCCTTGTTGTAATGTTTTCTGTGCTTGGTTCTAGGAAATTAGGAGGAGAGTGGGGAAATTCTCAATGTGCAAGAGACAGGAAAAGTGGACAGTACAGGTATCTTAGAGAACGGGATGGCATGTATAAGTAACGAACAGGAACGCAGGACGACTGCTTTATGGACAGTGATGACTAAAGAATAAGCCTGTTGCTTCAACTTAATACTGGATTTGTATAAGTAATAATGTGTGCTATTCTAATAGAAAAGTGCAGATTCTGCTAATATTGCAAGTGGTCACGGTCCGTGATGTTTGCTCAAAAAAAAAAAAAAAAAAAAAGGCAATCACCGGTGGGGAAAAGTAGTATGGTTTAAACAATACATTAAATAAAGTGAGTAGCTACACACTAAATGTTTAATTGTGGTCATTCCCTACTTGTTGGTGAGACAATTTAGCAGCCTTGACATTTTTTAGTTTCTTTTTTAGTGTAAAAATGATGGTGATAAGAAGGTGCAGGCTGGGCATGAAACGTGGATATTTGTTTGAAAGAAACATTAAATAAAACTGAAGAATTGTAAAATGAAACAAGCGGAGAAATAGTGTTCTCCACAAAGCAAAATCAGACTGTTAAACTTATATGTGTGGAATGTTAAGGCAAAAAAATGGACAAAACATGATGCATCTGGAAGAAGGGCTTTGTTTTATTGTTTGCTGGGGTTTTTTTGAAACCACAGGCCATTACAGTATGGACAATGTTGTAATGCTAACAGTAAAATACCAATTGTTTTTATAATAGAATAAAGAGGGAAAGAGAGTATGCAGTTGTGTCTTGCAGTGATGCATTTAAATCTGCATAGCTTGCATATGCTTATCAACAGAATCTTCATTGCATGGAACAATTCTATGAAGTGAAGAGTTTCATTTCTAGTAATAGAGAAACAATTATCTTTTTATATGGATGACATTTGTTCTAGGACCTTTTTCTAACCAGTGTATTTCCAGCTTCTATATTTTGATATGCCAAATGAGGTAATGAGTGTATGAAAATAGTTGCAAAAATTTGTTCAGGTTCTGGTTTTTTTTTTTCCTTAATACTTCATATTTTTTTTTTTTCAGCTTCATGTTGAACATGAGCCTTGTTATGATCAGTGAGAATGTAAAGCTGGCCCGTGAATATGCCTTACTGGGAAATTATGACTCTGCAATGGTCTACTATCAGGGAGTTCTTGACCAAATGAATAAGTATCTCTACTCTGTCAAAGATACCTATCTGCAGCAGAAATGGCAACAGGTAAATGATAATGCTTTTCTGGGACGTTTTGAGGGAAAAGCATTAAAGTAGAAAAATTGCCTATTTCATGGTAAACAAAAGTATAAAATAGACCATTCTCTGATAAACTGTAGTGCTGTTATAGATAGGCTTTTTTGTTATTATATACACTTCTTTAAGTTGTCTTTATGACTTCTCTGACAATGACAAAAGAGGCAATGGAACACAGTGCTGGGGAGTCAGCGCACTGTCTGGCTTGTCAGCTTCTTGCTGCTGAGTGCCCCTGTTACGCTGAACTTTTTTAGGCTGGTATCATTTTGAATAGTCTTATTTCCCTCTCGGTGGTTTAGTAGTGTGACTTAGATCGTTAGCAGAAACTGAGTTGTGACTGCCATCTTAATTTATCCTTAACACAAACCATCATTTTTTTAATTGACATTCAGGCTATTAGGTTGTGCTCTTTTCTGTCATACTTAATATGCAAAATTTGTCAGAAGTCTTTTTTGTATTAAATCCAAAATCTATTTGTTTATCCTTCAGATGTGCTGAGGAAGGTAGAAAAACCTTCTTAATATCTGATGTGAATTATTCTTTTCTAATGAAGTAGAATCAGGTAGCTTGTGAAACCTTGTGGAATTCATCCAGGCATTACATGGGTTTGAACAGAGGACTGTTACAAACTTATTTGCAGTGTGCTTAATCTGCTTTTTTTTAAATCAGGTTTGGCAGGAGATAAGTGTGGAAGCTAAGCATGTGAAAGATATAATGAAAACACTAGAGAGTTTTAAACTAGACAGTACTCCATTGAAAGCTTCACAACAAGAATTACCGGCTCATGATGCAGAAGTCTGGTCTTTGCCAGTACCTGCTGAACGTAGGTAAGAAGAAACCTGAAGACCTAAATTAACATTTATCCGGGTAAAGTGTGCTTTGACTTCAGCCTGTTCCTGTGTAATTTTTGTTCTAGACCTTATATGTGTAACACACCAGCAGCTTGCCACCATTTGTGGTGAAGGACATGCAATTTAGAGGCAGTCTACTCGAGAACATTATGGGGCTTTTATATAATATAGGCTTGACTAGTGTCAAGCTGCATTATTTCCACCACCACCCCCCCACCCCAACTTAAGATAAACTTGTCATCCTATGGAAGCTCAACTCTTCCTGAATTGACCATCTCATCAACTTTACAATGATTCTGCATGTAGCTGATAGGAAAAGGATGAAGACATACTGTCAAAATAACAGTAGAATCTAGAAGTGTCCAAGCTCAGTTCCTTCTATGTAGCAAGGTGGTTCCCTGATCTCCTTCATGAACTGGTCAGTTAAGCTCAAAGGAAGGGGTGCAAACAAGCAGCTGCAGGCAAGTCTGCTTATTTCAAAAGTAGTTTTGAATTATGCTGGGTTAGTGTGTGAAACCAAGGCCTTGCAGTGTGGTTTGACAATGTAACTGCTGCTGAAAGGATAGTCCCACCTTCCACAGTCACCTGAGTCTTTTCCACTTTTGTCTCTGACCTTGATTAGCTGATTCAGGATGCTAAACTGGCAAAAAGAAGACAGTTTTGTGGGGCTGGTGTTTTTTTGTTTGGCTTTTGTTGTTTTATTTTTCCTGAGATTAGCTATCTGAACTGGTTAATTGGAGGTTCTAACACATGCCAGTGGTAGCATGAAGTGGAACAGGGGTGCATGCAAAGCAGACATGGAACTGTGCATTTTGACAGAAAGTGACTATTCGATCAGCTTAGCTGTACTGTCAGACTGTTACTTGAGGCTTTTTGAACTTGCAAGCTGTTTCTTGCAGATGGATAACTTCAGTCTTAATGGATACATTATTACGTTATTTTTTAAAATCGATTTATTTTAAGCCTGCCTTCTGAAAGAAATGTGTCTTGTGTGATCACACTGTTTCTGTTTACCTCATTTAATAACTTTGGAACTCTGCTAGCTGATTTCATTCAAACCTTCTGGAAGAATAGAGTCTGGGAAGTAGAACTTTCCTAATGTTTTGAAGCTTTCTAGAGAAGTGATACACAAACTCATGTTTTTGAGAAGGGAAAGATTTGAGAGAGCTCCTTCTGTTCCATCTATCTTGCCAGCTGGGGAAGTACAGAGTTGTGGTAATATGAAAAAGCCACAGTGAAAACTTGGGCCATGTTGCTTTGGAATAACCACAGTAAATTCCTATACTGAGATAGCAGAACTCACAAATGTAGGTGGAAATTAGATGTGTAATCACACTATTCCTTTATTTTGAGCTTTGGGATGGAATTCAGAGGTGGCTAGGTGTTCATAAATAAAAGTATAGGTTGGTAGATACTCCATTCAGAGAGTGAAAATACTTTAACATTTATGATCTTGTCATTAGCATATTAATGTTGTCTAATGTGCTGAAGAGGTATGTATAGTTCTAAGAAACTTGCTGCTGTGAATCACTTAAAGACAACTTTTATGAAGGTACTAGATCTTGATATATCTTGAATGATACGTTAAAACACATCTTCTAGTTCAAGTAAATGCTCTCCTAATCAGTCTTCCGTTTTCTGTTCTCCAGAAGTATTCCTGAACTTAACCTTGACTGATAGCGTATTAATGCTAGGCTTTTAGGAAGGCCCGTGGGAAGAGTCTGTGAGAGTAATGGATTTGTATGAGCACGAAACTGAATTTTAAAAAAGAACTCCATAATACCAATCATGACGCAGGTTTATTCATATGTGCTTCTGGAAGTAGTGTAGTTTCAAGGCCTAGAGGCCTCACATATATGTTTTCTTTCCGAAGAAGTGATAATAAAAGGAAGTGAAAATAAAACTGTCATTCCCAAGAAACCTTTACATTTCTTTGGGTGGGAGAGTGAGGACCATTGTGATGAGGAGAAAATATAATGGAGAGGGGCTTTGTTTATTTTTTCTAAGCTCCATAATAGTAGGATTACTTTTATTTTTGAAATATACAAAGCAAGGAGCTTGTTCTAAGCAAATGAGCCCTGAGCCTGTGGCAAAGAGAAAATGGATTTTTAGTAACTATCTAAAAATGTCTGTCTTGTTTCTGACATACAGATCTTTTTTTCTTGAGCAAAGTGGCTTTTCAGTTTGTAACCACTTGATTTGGTTATGTAGTGCTCACCAGTGACTTTACACTGAGGCTTTTTGCATATGTTACAACTAATTAGACCTTCGCCAGGACCCAGAAAACGTCAGTCTGCCCAGTGCAGTGATTGCAGAGGTCACAATAATCGTATAAGTGCAGCTGTCAGAGGCCCTCACCGTCCATCCTCTCGAAATCCCAATGATAAAGGGAAGGCAGTCCGCAGCCGGGAAAAAAAGGATCAGCAAAATAAAGGAAAAGAGGAAAAGGTAGGCTTGCAAATAACTTCATGAAGTTGAGAAACTCAGTCTCGCTTTCTTAATGTTGAGTCTCTTATAAAATTAGATGACTGTAAAATGTTTCTTCTGTTCAAGTCAGCGTGCCGATTTGAATCTCTCCTTGCAAGGTATCTTTACTTTATGGACAGTCTTGGTTATGGATGAATTTTTCCCTCATCTGGAGGAAGTGATCTGGTAACTGTGGGCTTGTTTACTGCAACTCGGAGATAGTTGTTTACAATTATACCACCAAATTAGTGTAAACCAAGCCTGATGGAGCTCATTCAGATGGTACATCCTTGTGGGTTCTTTAATTGCTTTCATATATTTTAGACTGAGATTGACATGCCTGTTTAAAAGGATTTCAAGATTTATTTAATCTTAAAGGGAGACCTTTACTTACTTTTTTTGTTGTTGTTGTTGAGAACTGGTATTAGCTCCACACTCTCTTCAGTGTAGAACAAACAAAAATCTAATGTACTTCATGAGAGACAATGATCTATTCTTTGCAATCAGAGCGCTTCGATTTTTGCTTGTGCTCTGGTTTCCATAAATTCAGCTGATGACCAAAGTAAGAGATCATACTGAAGACACTAAATTAATAATTTTCCAGAGTCTGAATAAATCCAATATCCATGTAATAGTTAGCTTCATCAACCTTATGCTGTGTCAAGGTGTCATGGCCTGTGAAAATAGTATAAACTACAAGGGCGGAATTGTTTAGCTATGTAAGCTACCACTTTTATTAGAGTCTAAATTACATTGTCTTTGAGTGATAATCCTCTCTCACTAAGGATATGCACACACACAGAGACAAGATAGGTCTTTTTCTTTTTTTACAGTTGCTCTGTGCTTGCTGTTAAGTGTATAAAAAACCTGGGTTATATCTAGTGCATTTTATTTCCTTTCAGTTGCATGGTCTCTGCTGTTTGAGCACTTTCAACTGTGTAGCTTTTTTGCTTCTGCTTTACTGCAGCGTTGTGTTTCTCTGCTGTTCTTGTCCATGCTTCTGTATCAGTTAATTAGATGGGATTTACTTCTGTGATCTTCCTGCAGATCACCTTTGCTCATCCTACATATGGAAGTCCTGCTTAATATTTTTTTATGTCCCATATATACGGCATATTTATCATACTTAAAGGATTTCAGATACTGTAGCTCAGTGTGACACTTTCTGATTCAGTCTCACACATAATTCCCCCTACCCAGATACCGTCAGATAGTTTTTGATCTCTGGGAGAAGAGGCGAACACAGTTATGCTGGGATAGGTGCATGCAGTTTTGGTTACCTCGAAAAGCAGAGAAACTGCATCAGTACAGCATGCTGGCTTCGGGGCAGTACAGAAGACTGGGTGAACCACATGGATCCTGCAGTGCAGCAGTAATATGGATGCTTCATAATTTTCATGCTGGTTTATGTTACCACCTTCTAGAAGTATTACGTTGTTGTGGACTTGTTATAAAAATCCATTAGTAGCATAACCATTGTTATGTATTTACATTGTTATATCCTTTATATGTAGAACAAGTCCACATCTGAGATTTCAGAGTCTGAACCAAAGAAGTTTGATAGTACTGGATATGATAAAGATTTAGTAGAAGCTTTGGAAAGAGATATAATTTCTCAGAATCCCAACATTCGATGGTAAGTTTGAATACTGCTGCCAGTCTTTCTGAGTTGTATACAACATACTTCATTATTGTCATATTATATAATATTTTAGCATATGCTTACATATAAAAAGTACCTACAGGTTTTCTTTACTCATTTAATAGGCAACTAAACTTCTTGTGTAGTTGATGATTTTTAGAACTTTTTTTTTCCAACCATAGATTCACAGAATAGTTTGGGTTGGAAGGGACCTTTAAAGATCAGTTAGTCTGACACCCTGCTATGGACAGGGACATCTTTCTTTAGTTCAGGTTGCTCAAAACCCCATCCAACCTGACCATACAAAGCTTTTCAGACTTTTCTAAGAGACCTGAAATCAGTTTTTAAGATATTCTTTTGCAATGTATAAGACGGTAGTGTCTGCCAATGTCTTTTCATTTAAAAACCTGTTTTCCTACTCAGGCATGTACCAAGATAGAAAACCAATTAACAAAGAAGTTATGTCAATATAGGAACCCTTTGAAATCTTGCTGGATGTGATGTGACTGCCAGTATAAAATATAACCATGTGCCAGTACCTTTACATAAATGTGTTAAATATTAAACCTTATACAAAGGTGGTTTTGTGTTCCAAATGTTTCCAAGCTTAGGTGGTTTTGTGAGGATTAAATGAGCAAATATCTTCTGGCAACTACAGTAGGTTTTAAAACACCCTGAACAATCCCACAAATAAGTTTGTATGCGTGCAGCTGTCATGTATTTCAGTTTAATATGTAAATACAGATTTCAGTTTTTGTATTGAATCTTAAATTACAGCTTCAGATTTGAAACTAATTTTCCATATAGATATGTTTTGAAACCAAAATATTACTTGGGCACATGCTGTTAAGTGGGATGCCCTCAAGAAAATAAGACCAACCTATAAGGTATCTAAGAATTAATACATTTGTAACTCTGAAAAAGAATCTTAAAAATTATTTTTAATTCAGCTCCATTTACTGGTCTTCAATAAATTGTTCTTGTAATGATGAGAGTGTTCAAGTCTCAGGGACGGTCAACCTCTCAGCAAAAGAAGAAAGCATCATCTGTAACTAGCATAAGTTTAACCAACTTGCCTTATTCTTTCTGTGAATAATAACAGCAATGCTTTAGTGAAGTAGTTAATGTGTCTCCCTTTTCTTTTACATCCAGTTGGAGTCAACTAGCTGCATGTCAACTGTAGTTGTTGTAGGCTCTTACCACTAGAACATAAATAAATCCAGCCCATTTTCCTGAATTGTGGAAGAGCTGTTACATAACGATAAGTTGCATATTATTTTGAGCTGTGGACTGATTCTTTTGCAGTCTCACTGAATCTGTCAAACATCTTTCTCTTTCTTGTCAGGGATGACATTGCTGATTTAGTAGAAGCCAAAAAGCTGCTTAAGGAAGCTGTAGTTTTACCAATGTGGATGCCGGAATTTTTTAAGGGAATTAGACGACCATGGAAGGTATGAAAAAATCTGATCCTGTGATCATAACTAGGATTCTGAGGTGAGATCTTGACAGAACAACAAATTTCAGGTGGTTTACAGTTTATGCAAATGCTTTCCAATTTTTAGTAACAAAATATAGGGTAGATACTACTAACAGAATAAAGATTTCAGCCAGATAAATACACTGTCTTCAGTTATATTGTTGCAAGTAAGCAATAGTAATTAGGTTCTTACCTTTGAATAACTTTTCAAGGGAAAGTTTGCATCTAGTATTTTAATATTACATTACTAAACAAACTGTGAAGTTGTGTCTGTTTTGATTCTTGTCCTAAAAGTGGATCTTTTTCATTTTAATAGGGTGTGCTGATGGTTGGTCCTCCTGGTACTGGAAAGACCCTTCTGGCAAAAGCTGTAGCCACTGAATGCAAGACTACTTTTTTCAATGTTTCTTCTTCCACGCTTACCTCAAAATACAGAGGAGAATCTGAGAAACTTGTTCGTCTACTGTTTGAAATGGTGATTGATGTTTCTGAACATAAATAGTGAAATAATGAAGTAGAATTACTTCTGGAATAGTGAAACCTTGCCAAGGTTTAGAACTCATAGCATACATAAACAAGTTTCCAAGCTTCAGACACTTTAGGACCTTCTGATTTGGCCATGTACATTCAAGATCTGGTTATTCCTAAATAGCTTTATACAAAACTGAAAAAATAAGATCGCTTTTATTTTCAGGATTAGCTTGTTACAATAGAAGTAGCTCATGATAAACTGATAAGTGATGTGGAAAATACTTGAATGTAAAACTGGAGATGAAATACAATTGTTTTCTGGGTGAGAATCCTACTTAGGCTGTGAGTGTTTTGTTGTTGTTGTGGGTGGTTTTTTGTGTTTAAAATAAGTGGACTTCCAAACTGTAGTTGGCTTCAGAGCAGCTAGCACTTGAAATTGGTTCCAAATATGTAGTCTTTTTTCATGTGTTACCAGGTTTGCATGCAGTGTTTGCTAGGGTGCCCAGTACTGAAGGGGGCAGCAGAGTTGCAGTTACAGTATTCAGAAAAGTCAGGAAATAAAAAATCTTTCACAATATAGTTTGATCGTATTAAATGAGTTTATATCAACCCTATCAATCAAAAATGCATATACACAATGGACAGCATCTCAACTGCTGCAGGACAATAGCTTTTGTTACCATAGATCCTTGTCTTTGAGCTCTCTTGTTTTCAGAAAAGTTCACTGTTTTGCAGTTGACCTGTCTCTTGGACAGGGTCTGTATCATAGTGTCCTAGCTTAATGTTCATGCTACCTTTAACTGAGTTATTATTCAGGCTCTGGGATGACTTTCACAGTTATAAATGTTATTCCTAGTGTGTAAAACTGTCTTTAGTTTATTAAACATTTGTTTATAGCCCTAAGAGCTATAGGACTTTGCCAAAAACTGTTCTGCTTGAATGTTATTAATGAGCACATAGCTGCTCTATAGTTGTGTGCGATGGGCAGAGAACAGGAAGGTTAGGAACTGATTGGGGTAAATGTGTCATTAGTCAGTTCTCAATATGCTGCTGTTTCTTAAATGTGAATAGACTGCCATTTCAGTTTCTGCTTTATCTTTTGCTCTTTTTTAGGCTCGATTTTATGCCCCGACAACTATATTTATTGATGAGATAGACTCTATCTGTAGTCGCAGGGGAACTTCAGAGGAGCATGAAGCTAGCCGACGTGTGAAGGCAGAACTGCTAGTTCAAATGGATGGTAAATAACCTCATCACTGGGAAGTGCTTGACTGGAGGAAAACAAACAAACAAACAAACAAACAAAAAAAAAAACAAAAAAACAAAAACAAACAAAAAACAAAACACCACCAAAATCAAAACTTCATTCTTTGAAGGAGTTTGTTTGAAAGCCTTACGTAAAAGTGCACTATTCTGTCAGTGTGGAAGGAAAAAGGATACCAATTATTTAACAATCTTTTAGTATCTGAGCAATGACCTTATATTACTGACCCAGAACAATGAAAATTCAGTGGAAAATACAAGATTTCAAAACTACAGAAGAAAAGAAGTATTAATTGCTCCTTTCAGGCTTTGCCTAGCATAGCACTTCTCCAAAACCCAAGCAAAAAGTGATTCAAAAGAGCTGTCACCTTGTTCCAATTTGAACTTCAAAGGCAATCATTACACTTAACTTCTTTGGGATCTCTTTTTTTCCTCCTAATGTTATAAATAAAAAAATGAAGACAATTTTTTATAGAAGTGGTTGAGAGAGTTTTCTTTGTAAAACATTGAGTTCATTACAGATTACAGTTTTTTGGTTAATATTTCACAAATCAATGAAGTTTAAAAATAGGTAACACTGTGCAAAGTTGCTATAAAGACAACCTTTTTATACTTTGGTGAGCAGGGAGCAGGAAAGGAGCAACTGAGAAGTGCTAATCTATGGAGTAATTTGTGATAGAATTCCCTGAGTCAGCAGATTTGTATATTTATTTCTGGTTCTCTGATGTTGATACCCTTTTATGTTTGGCTTTAAATAGCAGCAGAGCTGTAATACTGTTCTCGTAACTCAAGTATGTACATAAGCTAATTTTATTAGTAACAACTATTTGAAGTCCTTTACCTGAGCGTTCATAAGTGGTGTTTTATATGCAAATTTTCAGGCAGACTAGGTACAATGGCTATTCTGGAGCCCAATCCTATGATTATAAGCAAAAACAGTAAATGCAGAGAGTAGCAAGTTTAATTAAACGACCTTCTTTATATAGCAGCAGTTTCACAGTACTTCAGACACTGAGGTGTTCTCTCTCCCTCTGAGAAGTTGTGATTCAGTCTACCAAATGTAAACATTCACTTCAGTTTGTAAGATTCCACCTGCTTATGTGAAACACTTGGCCTGAATTCAGAAGTGAAGAAACTTTGTAGAGGAGTAATGTGGCTTTTGCATGGCTGTTAGTGAATACTGTTTGCGGGAGGAGCAAGTGTCTGGTTTTTGATGTGGTGATGGTTTTGGGGGGTGGTTTTGTTTTTCCTCACATGCTGTTGCAGCATGTTGATTTGAAAGTTCCAGCACTGTAATGGCAGAAATACAGACAACTCTACTGTAAAACCATTCCAGCCATGATAGAGAGGAACTTCCTGACCTGAGTAATGGCATATGCTACTGCTCCTAATTAAACAGAGTCTCCATTTTTGCTTGCGGACTTTTTTGTAGATGAAAAACTGAGCTCTGTTGCACTTAGTGATTCTTTTGCACTCGGACTCACTGAAGTGTAGTAGAGTAGCTGCTTTAATATTATAGAATTGTGGATGTTGTTCTCTCTATACATAAAATTTCACAAAACATATGTACATTTTACTTCTTCTCTTCTCCAATGCAGGTGTTGGAGGGGCTACTGAAAATGATGATCCTTCCAAGATGGTCATGGTACTAGCTGCTACTAATTTTCCTTGGGATATTGATGAAGCCTTAAGACGGAGACTAGAAAAGAGAATTTACATTCCTTTGCCATCAGGTATGAAGACTTGGTGAGAGGAGTGGTTGAAAAGAATAAAATGTAAACTTTATCAATATTACTTTAGTTTTAATTACTTGGTTTAAAAATCTAATTGGCACATGTACACAAAGTCATTTATGAGTTCAGGACCAGATCAAAGCTAAACATTGAATGTTTACCTTTGCAGTAAATACAGTGTCCTTTTTCTTATTTTTCCCTCTTAGCCTTCTTCAATTTATTATTTATCTTCAGAAAGTAAATTGTATAGACTCAGTTTTCTATTCTTTGATTAGCAAAAGGTAGAGAGGAACTCCTAAGAATAAATCTGCGAGAGCTGGAACTGGCTGATGATGTTGACCTTGCAAATATAGCTGAGAAAATGGAGGGCTATTCAGGTGCAGACATTACCAACGTATGCAGGTATGTTAACATTGCATCATTTGTGTTACTACTCTACAAACTTTGAGAAAACTGTTTGTAAAGTAACTAATTTATATTATTAAAGTCGTTGGATAAACCAGACTGTAGCGTGCCTTTTATGTATGGCTAAAAGGTGAAATACTGCATTAATATTTACCTAGATTTCCGTTTGATATTTTTATATAATAATGATGAAAAGCAGTTACAACATAGTAATCTAAACAAGTATGATTTGGGTAAAATTCCATGTTCTTTCCTGTATACCAAATTCTTTGCATGAGGAATATCCACAGGATGGTAGACTTTAACTTCTAGAGTTGCAGTCATTCATCCAAGGTTGTACTACTTCAGCTGAACATCCATGTGTAAGAGGCGGCAGTGGCAGAGGCCAGAATAACTAAGGTAAAAATGTGGAGCGTTCTTCCTTCATGACACAGAACAGGTATACAATACTGTGTGACTGTAAAAAATCTGTGTACTCGGCACATTGGCTTTAGTGATGAGGCTGACTTAAGTTTTCTTCTACTTCCTCCATCTCCCCTTCTCCTCAGTACTGTTTGCATACAATCATTTGTGGACCTACAATCGAGGTTATACTAAATGCCTGAAGTAATCAACTGAAAATACCTTCTAACCCTTCTCCCAGTCTTTTATTTCAAAAATTGAAAAGGGAAGGAAAGAACTGATTTTTCAGAGACTAATATCAGCCATCTGGTTTACATCTAAAGATTTGCACTGGCACAGTTGCAGCAGTGGCCAATTATAGAATCAGCAGTACGAGTCAAAGAACTGAAACTTCTTATGATGCTGTTGTCCTCAACTAAGCACCTGTGTAACTGTGCTTTCAGGCTTTGGAGGTAGCACTGAAATGGGGCAGCGCAAGGCTTGAGCTCCTAGTTGTGCCAACACAGCTGTTGTGGGGCTGTACTTTGAACAGCGTAAGAGAACTGTTCTGGATTAAAAACACCATCTCATTACCTTCCTTAAACACAGATGCATTTCTTGCCTTGATCCCTAATACAGCTCTGCAAACACTTGTCCGCACAGCGGAGGGGACAATGTGCTGTGCTGCAGGGATGAATGCCAGTAGCCTGTATGCAAAATTACCACCAAAGGCTCTGTCAGCAGGGTTGCTTAAGGCTGAACTGAGTTTGGAGTACTGTTCCCTGAACAAACCTTACACAGTGTCTGGGAAACTAATGGTATGTTGGTTATTCTGAATCAGTGTCATGCAGATCTGTTTCATTTCTTGGTTTGGTGAATTTGTGATGGTGTTCTGCTCAGTCTTGGTGCTGGTTATGCTTTGGAAGGAGTTTGTGCTAATAGGTTCCTGTTATATGAAATAGAGTTTATTTGGCTTGCTGCTTTGTGCATTTTAGCTGCAGTTTGTCTCCTCAGGTCTGTTCAGTGTTTGTTATTTGTGATTAAGTTCATACTGGATACCAGTACACTTTTTTAAAAGTCAGAATACTTGTAATGTTTTTCAGTGAATTTTGTGTGTGTTGCTTTTTATTTTTTAATCAAAGTCCATTTGTACAAATACTATTAAAAAAAAAAAAAAAAAAAAAAAAAAAAACAAAACCAAGAGCAAGCAAACAAACAAAAAGAATCACAAAGGAACACATGAGTCTTTCATATGTGGCAGTCTCCTTAGAGAAGACTGAGGTGACAGCAACCAGAAATCCAGACAAATGGGGGTTTGGATATGCGTGATTTGAAATTAGTAAGAAAGTACTTGTATTAGCCTGTGTATTTACACTTTGTTAATGGTGTCAGGAAAAACAGATCTCAGACATGATTGTTTCATTTACCTTGAGACAGAAAGATCAAGTGCTTCAGACTTGTATACAAGTCTAAACTTGTATATATAAACAAAATATACAAGTGTTTTAGACTATATACAAGTGCTGTATAAGCATAATAAAGTTCAAAGTTGTAGACTCCACAGTCCTCACTAGTGACACAAGCAAAACTTAAGAAAAAGTGAATAAAGAATTCTGGTTTGCTCAAATTATTTTCCTACTTTAAAGAATTTGAGGTGAAATCCAGAGTGAAAACCAATCAGAGTTAACGGTACAGTTCCTAACAGTCAGCATATAATCATGGAAAAAATGAAGGTGAAAGTTCAACTTAAAAAGACATTCAGGAAATAAAAAATGCATCGAAATTGCCTATTAGATATGAGTATGAATTGACTTTGAATTGTTGTTCTGAGCAGTCTGTGAAGGTTGAAAGGCCTTTGGAATGGAACTGACCCCTGCTGCGTGTTCAGTGGGTGGCTTCTTATTTGCTGAATATAGCTTTGGTGTTTCTCCAGGCACCAAGAGTGCATTTGAGAAAGCACTAAGAGTTGATGTCGGAATGGCTGTCAGTAAAATGACTTTACAGAAGAAAGTGGTGGCAACTGTGCTTAAATTTTGTGGGTGTGTTGAGGTACGGTGGGTTTTGTTGGTTGATTGGGTTTTGTTGTTTTTTGTAAACTGCTCTTTGGAAGCAAATTAGATGTATGGGATGTGTGTGTGTGTCCCCCATTGTGTAACACTGGCTTTTAGTTCACAAATGATGATACAACAGCAAAGCATGGTGATATTTGACTAAGATGGAGTTCAACAAGGCAACTTTTTGGGGTTGTTCTGAAGTTCTAGTTATGGTATTATGCATTCTAATTGTTAACAATTATTTAGTGAATTCATGCAGTCTGACAGTTACAGTTTGCCTCAGGGGGAGGAACTGAAACAGAACATGCTGCATCTTTCTAAATCCTCCTAGAAGACAACATACAAATTTTTTCCTCTGAATTCTCACCTAATAATATAATATGATATACTGTTGTGATATCACCAGGATTACCCTTCCATCTTTTTTACTGCTAGAAAAAATAAGTAGCATTTTCTTATTATAAGCTATGTAACAAGGAACTAGCAGGAACTTTAGTCTTTCAGTGTTATCCATTTATCACTTCATCAGCTCATCACCTGCTGCTACTGATATTACTGTTGGAAATCCAAATGCAGTCAAACTTAATGCAGCAAGAAAATGACACACTTGTAAAGGCACTTAATGCTTAATGGGGCTGGACGTTGGAAGAGCTACAGGCTGAATAGATTTTGTAGTTTAATATTTATCTGTGAATGTATAGGTTGGAGGTAGATGCTGTAGACCTCTGTCTTTGAAGTGGGATTCCTGTTTGGACCAGGAAACATTCAAAACATTCCAGCCACTTCTCTCCTACACAGGAGGAGTGAAACCATTACTTTGCTTTATCCCTATTTAAAAACACTAGAAACAGCAGGTACATCGTAGGCATGCAGGGGCATTAGGTAAACCAGTTAAATCTTTGCCTCTTTTGCCTAGCCTGTGAATAGTAGCTATTCAGAGATCTAGTTAGGATGAATCCATGTTTGAAAAATATGGATAGCATGGTATTGTAGGTTATACAAGCACTTGGAGATCTTCCTGTAAATATTTACAATTCTTTATTGTATGTTTTTGAATGCAGCAGCTTAACTGGAATGCTGTGTTGAGCCTTTCAGACAACTGAACTCAATACCCTCTATTGAGTAACTTTTTCCTTTTTAATCCTTAATAGAGATGCATCGTTGATGGCTATGAGAAGGCGTATTGAAGGTTTGACACCAGAAGAAATAAGAAATCTTTCCCGAGATGAAATGCACATGCCAACAACTATGGAAGACTTTGAAATAGCTTTGAAGAAAGTTTCTAAATCTGTATCTGCAGCGGACATTGAGAAATATGAGAAATGGATAGTTGAATTCGGATCATGCTGAGCTGTCTTATTTTGAAGAAGCCACCTTACATCTTAAAACAGCTTTAGAAGTAATAAGTAGTGTGTCCGTGCACTGCGTGCTCTTTTTAACTTTTGTAATTTAAGAGCAACAGATGTCTAAATAAATCCTTTTTTAAAATGCAAATTCTGTCTAACTCTCTTTGAACTAGCTCAAAATGTACCAATTTTTCTCAAATGCAAAAGATACTGATGCGATCTGCTTTGATCTTCAAGATTTTAAAATTACTTAATTTGATACTAGAACTCTTGCTTCAGAGGGTTTACTCTTGAAAAATAGCTATTACACCTAAAAACCCCAAACTAGCCCTGCTACATAAGTAAGGGATGCTGACAACTAGAAAATGGGATGAACAAAATGCAGTTATGTAGATGGTTTTGCTAGCTGATCTTAGATAATTCTACCCTTAAACTGTTTAAAGTGTTAACAAAGAACCTGTACAAAGATTGAGATTTAGAAGATCAACCCTTGCACTACTAAGTCAGTAGATTCCACTGAAGCTTAAGCAATGGGTAGGATCATCACTGGTTTACAGTATCTACCAGGGAATATTAAAATACATCCAGTCAGTGTAAACTAACTCCGTGCAGCCAGCAGTGATGCAGAGTCACATGTGTAGTCTCCATGTAAGTCTGAGAGAAATCAAAAGCTTTCTGGCGTTAATTCTGAAATATGTTTTTCTTCCTTGACTGTATGGTTGTGTAAGTTTCAAAACTCCAGACTGGTAGGTTGGGTCCTTGTTTGCACTACACATTTATTCTGGTAAGGTTCTTCTGGTACAGCAGTATATCTCTGTGTGTGTATTTGTGCTCAACTGATTTCTGTTCATAACCCTGACTTTACAATTGTAAAATCTAAATTCTCTTTTTGAATTACTTGACAAGTAGAACGTAGAAACAGTTCTCTGAGAATGGTCATAATTTTAGATTTTGCTCAGCAGTGGTCACTGTAACTAAAACATCTATCATTTCTGCCCATCTCATATTATTTTGGAAACACTCCTTCCTGCTAGCTGGTCTCACACCAGCTGGCTGTAGTTCTGCTTACAGCTAACCTTGGTGCTTTTTCGTGAATCGAGTAAGTCTAGACTTGTTTCAGCAGGTGCATACATGCTGTGCAAAACTGGCTGTGGAATTGCTGCTCGTGTGTCTCTTCAGATGCTGCCAGGCACATGGGAAGGAAGGACAAACAATAATGAAAATTGCAATCTGAGTAGCAGGCAAATGCGTCCCAAGTACACAGTTGTGTAAATGCCATTATCATGAACATCATGTTTATGCACTTGAAATTCACCACTATGTTCTGAGTGACAGCTGCACATGCTGAAAAGGGACTTTCAGCAGTGCTGGAATGGGATGCTCCAGTAAGACACTGAGATGCAGATATCTTTGAGGCGTCCTGAATCCCTGGGTGGACCTGTCATGATGAACCCAGAAATGAAGGGAAGAAGTTCAGGTGAGTACACAAGCGTGTGCATTTATAGACTTTATCTCCAAAATGAAAAACAAATGTACCTCTTTCAGGATAGCCACATGTCAGAGTTAGGAAAAACATGCAGTATTTTGAAGTGTGGGTTTTCTTAATATTATTTTACTGCTTGTATGTTAGGATGAGTGTATAGCTGTCAGCTGTGTTGCAGGAGGATATTTCTTCTCATAAGTCAATTCACTGCAAGCAAACCAAAATCTTCAATCTGTCACCTGAGTAAGAAGGGAAAGTTAAGCAAGCTGTAGTCCTTGGAAGCAGTCCAGTAACGAGCCACTTTGACTGCAAATGTGATCTATTTTGAGTACTTCTAACATACACCTCTTTTTAAAAGCAGTTTTGTTCTGCAGCTCAACCATCCCTGTTCACTGTAAATGAACACCTGTGTAATAAATGGTAGAGGGAAAAAAAAATGGTGGTAGACGCTGAATTCATAGCTCAGAGGTCTATTTTGTTTTGGAATGCAGAACCTGATGATATCACCCTCCTCCAGTGGAGTTCCTGCATGGAGGGAAGGGTTGGTGCTGCTTAACTCTGTCTGTTTAACAGGCATTCTGGGAGTGAGACAAAAGGGCTGCAGTGAGAACCACAGTTCCAGAGGAGATAAAAGATGTTGCCTTTCCAAAAAACCTACTGTCATTCTATAGAGTGGGTTTTTTTGGTGATAGAGAGTTTGAGGTTTTGGTGGTTTTTTGGGGGGTTGTTTTTTTGTTTGTTTTGAATTTCCCCGCCCCTTCTTTTTTCCCCCCAGCTGGCACCTGTATCCGTCAGCTCATGACCTGGGACAACGAGACCTACTGTGACTGGCACGCAGGACATTTGCCCTTTCCTGTGTTAGTTGTGGTAAGGAGTTTTTAAACTGGTTTACAAAATGCTTCAGTGTCCCGTCCTGAAGTAGCACTCCTCTGCCAGGCATGAGAGTCATGACTCAGGAAAACCAGACGCGTGCTAAAGCAGAACACTTAGTGTTTTAACTTTTTAAGACTGGATAGCTTCAGCTCCATAGCACAGCAATGTTGTCTGGCAATTAAGGTGTTCAAGATTTGCACTATTTTTTTTTTTTTAATTTAATTTTTTTAACCTGATGGTAGTATTTCTTTCCTTGTGCTTTGTAACTCTGTAAAACACAGTACAAAAGAAGATTACTTAGCTGATGGAAATCAGCCAAGCTGTGAAGCAGTACCAACACTTTTTCAAGCTTAACCAGTTATTTATGTTGCAGCTGTTGAGAGCTGAATCTCCTTGTTGCTGTGCAGGTGCTTGGTTTACAGTTTCGTAAGTAGGGATGCAAAGAGCACACACTAACAGCTGCCACATTTCCATCTCCAGTGCAATTCATACTATGCTTGTGCAGTAAGGAAGAATTGTTGCATTTTGTGTCCATCCTACTCTCTTCCACCCTTGCCCCCCAGAGAAGCTAAACTCCAGCCTTATACATCACTTCTATTTGAACTATGTTAATGAAGGTGCCAGGGCTACATTCATAAAGTGGAAAGAACATTAATTTCCACAGAGGAGTTTGTCTACAGCTGTTTGAAGACTTGCTGGTCTGTGCAGTCACCATTCCTGTGCTAGAGTCTAAGCAGTTTCCCATTTAGTCGTGGCTGATGACAACCCCTCTGCCATGTGTATTCTTTCACTAAATTGCATTCTTAATTCAGATGCCACTAGCTCTAACGTCACCTCTGCCTTAGGTGGTTGTTATCATTAGGGTAGCTCTCTTGGGGTAGGGGCCTGGCAAGCACTGCTTGGGGCTCCAGGGATGCCAGTCACTGCTGCTCATCCCTGCTCAGCAGAGCAGCCGCCTCGCTCGAGAGTTTCATGGCTCTGCCTGCCTGAAGCCCCCAGCCAGTTGTGACACATCCATCCCCCACTTCTGTCATCCTTACGCAGCTGGGCACCTGGCAAAGGTTTGGAATCCTGCGCTCTAATGACACGGAGCTTGAGGAATTAAATGCAGAGCCCCACATGGTGCTAGAACAAAAAATAAAATTAAAAAAAAGGAAGATTGAGACATGTCCCTGTTAACCTCGACCGATGTGTACCACACTGTGCTGCTGCTGAGTGGTATTTTTTGTTTTGTTTTTTTGCAAAGCAAGGCAGTGTTAGAAATGCTTCTTCTGCCACTGCAGTGCTGTCAGCTTAGTGAGTCAGCTCACATTGTTACTGTCACAGACCAGCTGTAAGAGCAAGTATCTGAATAACTTAGAGATCTCATTAAACTTATGACAATCTTTCCTCAAGAGGCAGGGGGGGAAACCCTAGCTTTTCTCACTATAACAATTTCAGCTAAACGTGAATAATTCTGATCGCTCAAATGGTAACTGTGCTCAGTCTAATGACAGGTAGTTAAGGTTCTTTTTTTCCTAGTCGTTCTTCTGACAATTTTTTTAAATAACAATGAAAAAAACAAACAGTACTCTACATCTAACACATTTGTCAAACTGTTATTTTATGTAACTAAGTACAGATGCACACATGAACACAGTCTAATAAACAAATGTTTATTTGAAAAATGTTAACAGTACAAATTAGCATCGGCAGACTGGGCCTACTTAGCAATAGTAAGCCAGCACTTTTGTAGGATTGTCTTTTTTCTTTTGGGATTTCACACAGTACTGCTGTCACAGATACAAAAAGCACATTGTTTACAAGTGCTAACAATTTTTATGAGTGGAAGGGACCATAAAAGTGTAAAGTGCTTGAAATATAAATCTGCCTGTTTAATTTGTGTTTTGCATATTAAAATGTCAAATTACTTGAGTAACAGAAATGTGTGGTAGTGATATTTTCCTTGCAAGGCACACTCAACCCTAATAGACCTGAAACCAGGCTGGGCAGCTTTGTTTAGGCTTGCAGGCACAGCTGATGTTTGCGATACTCCTTTGTCCTTTTCTGAAGAATGCTGTCTGGAGACTTTAGGACACCCTGAATTTCATCACCACGCTCTTCAGGACAGCTGACCTGGTTTATCTATGGACGTGAAGGCAGCCAGTATCCTGTCTGAAGGTGGGAAAGTGACTTCACAGAAGTTAAAACCAATGGTAGCCCTCAGGGTGGAAAGCTGTTTTATTTTGAAGCTTCTGAAAAGGTTGCACGTTTATGGAGAGGCACAGGGAAGTCAACTTTGGGCCTTGGCCTGAGTGTCCCTTTACCAATTAATCAACAAGGTATTAAGATCAAGTGCCAAAATTCAGGTCAACTAAAAATTTGTTTTTAAAAAACAGTAACTCCAAAGTAAACACAGTATTAAGTACATGCTTTCTCATCTAAACTATTTTTCCTGTCTGGAAGATCTGAAGGCAAGCTGATGGTAATCATAGGTACAAAGCTGACTTGATCCAGGAGAAGGATGCCTCTGAAAGGTAAGATTACCTGGCATTAGAAAACAATATACAAAATAATTCCATGTTCTAAAAATTAGATTTATTCTTAAGCTTCACAAACTTAGTTTAAATTGATGCATCAACTAAGTAGTACCCTCGTAATACCTGTTTTATGAAGCTAGAATGAAACTTGATGGAAAACTGGTTCCAAAATGTATTAGCTGGGGTTTCAGAGGCCCCTTTCACCTATTTTTTACAGCTGAAGTATCAGCAGTGTAGGCTCTCTATGCTCAACTTCATAGTAACCTCCAACTG